CATCTCTGATTGGGCACTGGTAACGATTATTTTAAAAGAATGGCTGCTAAAAAATTCAATTTATATAAATCCCTTGTACAATTTTTCTGCCACCAGAATTTTTACAATTCTGCTCTAAATGGTGAGCTGCCATACTTACAGTATGCTTACCCCCTAAATCTGTGTGCATCCTTTTGTCTGAGGAGACCCAGAGAGTAGTCTATTACGTTTTAAAAATCACACCATTAGCTTCTCTCATATTATACACCTGTCACTTCATCAGCAGCATTTCTGATCTATGTTTCATTCCCTCTTTAATACATATGTATAATTCTTAGCCAATTATGTGTTTGAGAAGTAGGTGGAAGAGAGTAGGTATATTAGGTGGTGTTGCCACACTCCCCAAATTGCCTTTATCAGCAGCTACACACATACCCCAGCTGCTGCACCTGTGGACTGCTAATGGCTCACAGCTGCCTATCTGCCCACTTCCTGGGAAATATGTTCTCAGATGACAGCAATTCTCAGGAATATTACCAACTTCCTCACCACACCCTACAGCCAGTGCCCGAGTGAGTAGTTGATACTAGATATGATAGATTAACCGTTTATCCTAAAAATTTACACCCAATCCCCAGGGATCCAACCAAGGCTATTCTACCCCAGGGGTCACATCCTGTTTACTTACTTCCCTCTTCTGCTTCACATACTCTCTAGAGATTCATCTGAACAGCATTCCCGCAATAAATTGTGTGCATACGAGAATCCCTTTCTCAGGCTCCATTCCTAGGCAATGTACCAAGTAACTGAACCCAGTTAATTTCATAACTGAAGGTTATGTGTTTGTTTGTCTTATAGACAGAAGCAGGCTGAGGGCAAGGAGTAGCTAGTGATTGTTTGCTGCTTGGGAAGAAAATAATCAGTGAACCTACAATCCATAATCTCCATTTACTAGTGAATCCCCAACTAAGAAAAAGGCAAGCAGGACAAATCCCCAGATGAACATGGGAGACAGAGAAGGTGCACTAAAAGGCCTGAAGATAGAACTTGGAGGACATGAAGATGCCATAGATGGAGAGAACCAAGGCAGGGGGAAGTTGCATGTTGAAAAGTGTGACTGGAGAGATTATTTGGTATTTGTCGCCTTAACCTGAGTCTATAGCTAGGATGATATTACATATGATTGAGTCATAGTGCCCTCATTCTTTGCCCAATTTTAATTGGCCATGCCTCATGGGAAACCTTTGGAATTATCTTAGCCCTTCTTAAACATTAAGCAACCCAGAATTCCAGGAAGCATCAAGAGATAACTGCTCTAATGAAGCAAATAATTGAAGTAGAAGTGTTGATTCTTACTAGCTTCCTTAACAGTCCTGTCTGGCTCCAGCCCATAAGGCAGATGGTTTCTGGAGGTTAATAGTAATCTGTGGAGGATTTAAAAAACTGGTTTCTCTGATAGCTTCAGTAATATTTGATACAGTAAAAACTATGCAGAGAGGCTAAAGGAGATTGGTATGCCATTTCAGGTTTTATTAATGATTTCTTTTCAATCTCAATTTTTGAGTCCAGAGCATAGTGACATTCATGGAATGACACTGGTATGTTTTGGCACAGAAATAATTGAATTTGCTGACATATTGTCATAATTTAATGAGATTAGGTTTGACTTTATAACCATTAAGAGCAAGTCAGAGCACCACATTCTTGACTTCATGAGAACTGCTCCCTGGAGGATGCTCATAAGGCCCTCTGAGCCTGATCAACATTATAATAAGTAAATAGTAACTGCAGCTGAAATTTGACCCACTTCTAAATTGGGAACTATGTGGGCAGAAGCAACTAGCAATATTCCTCAGACTATGAGAAGCAAAGTATCTCTCAGACATGTTGCCAATAAACAAGAATATCAGAGGCAAGCATGGTTGGGCAAAAATCATATTGCTCATCTAGAAATCTTGTTGGATGTAATTCACAAATCACCAAAGGAAATTGGCATTTTAATGAGTTTTTGAGCAGAAACAAGTGTTGAAAATTTTACAAAGGGCAGTGGCACAGGTAGTTTTATTCTGTTCTTATGAACCAACTGCTCAGATGATATCAGAAGTATCTACAAGCACAATATATGCATGCTGCAACTTTTGACAAAAATCAAATACATTACTCAATGATACCCCTCAAAGTTTTAAACTCAAAAACTGCTCATTTGAAAAACAATTGCTAGCTTGTTGCTTGGCCTTGGCCAGATACTGCCCTCACCACAGAAAGACATCATCTAATTTAAAATATATATATTTATTTATTTATTTATAATCATTAATTGGCTGCCTCCTGCACACCCCAACTGGGGAATGAAGCTCAGGTATGTGCCCTGATCCGAATCTAACTGGAATCTAACTGTGACCTCCTGGTTCAGAGGTGGATGCTCAACCACTGAGCCACACTGCCCAGGCAAGGCATCATCTAATTTGAGGCTGGTAATACAGATCAAGCTTTGGGTGATGCCAAGGAGACTGCCCAGCAGAGAAGAGCTAGCTCAGCAGACTTTTACATAAAGTGGATGTGGTATACTCAAGAGCATGCCAAAGGGAGATGTCTGGGGGTATCCAGCACATAAAGGAGCAAGTTGATTTATTGCCTGTAGGGACAATGATAGAGACCTCTGAAGATCTTCCTGGCTCCATCTCTGAACCTTGTGATTTTCTCCCAGCTGAGGCAAGTCCTGGTTCACTGTCTTTGCTTACTGATTAGAGTTCCTGAATTGGAAGCCATGTTGCTATATGGAAATCAACAGCACCCCGAAGAGGAAAAGCCTTAAAGGAATAAGTCAACAAAAATCTGTACAATGGGGCAGAGCTGGGGATTATCTATTTAACATAGGACTTATTGCTTCTTGGCCTTTTGGCTAAGATCATGTGTATTTAACATAGGACTTATATAAATCTCTTACCTACAGGCAGTTATGTGGATACTTACAAACTCCATGGCTGCAGCCAGTGGCCTTGCCGTATAGTCAGGCAAATAATACCTAGGTGACTGAGTAGAAAGAATATTCATGTATAAGGAGCTCAGTTTTATAATTCCCTGTAGAAATTCAAAGGGAAAATTAAAGTGAGTCATGTCTATTAAAAATCCTCAGCTGCTGGCTCAGAGTGGGGATTAGAAGGCTGAAGCAGTTGTCTTAGTCATAGCCCAAGCAAGAAGCTATCTTGGTTCCTGAAACCAATAAGCATGAAGAAACTTAAGTCATGCACTAATGGGCTTACAGATGACACATTACCTTTGTATCTACCGATTCATGTGAACAGAAACTACATCTTTGTCTAAAACAAGAGTGGGAAACCTTTTTTTATGCCAAGGTCCATTTGGGTATTTATAACATTATTCGCAGGACATACAAAATTAGCAACTTAAAAATTAGGCTGCTATATTTGATTGAACATTTAATTAACTCTTTCCTAATGCTTTGGCAGGGCCAGACCAAATGATTTTGTGGGCCTTGTACTATCTGCAGGCTGGACATTCCCTACCCCTGGTCTAAAAGAAAGAAAAGCCTTGAATAAGTTTGATTGAGGGCAAGGCCCTGTGCATAGCTGGCAAGTGGACTGATTCTCCCATTACTGGCAGTCCCAGGAGGCTACAAGTGGGTTTCAACTGGTGTTAAAACTACTCTATTGCCGGGAGCTGGTCCATCCTTGCTGTTTCAAGGGACCTGGCATATATGGCATACTGTTCTTAATATATTTGCTCACCTTCTTGGCACTATGTGTTTTAACCAAGGTCACCTCTCCTAGAAAGGTTGTTTCCCCAGGTAGGGATTTTCCCCTGAAGTTAGGGAGGGAATAAAACCTCTTACCTAAGTGCCAGGCTGGTAATTAATCACACCTGGCAACAGAACCTGGACAGAACCTGGCTGGAGAACCTGGACAGAACCTGGCTGGAGACATGGACCAGAACTTGGCTGGAGATCCTGGCTAGGCTGCTGATCAACTGAACGCTGTCTCCGTGTCATTCCTTCTTCGCCGACTCCGTCCACACCTTTGGGGACCCCTGGACCTGCTGCGGCTGGACCCCAACACTCTATAATGGGTTTGTTCATCCTGTAACAGAAGCAACATTGGAGAATACAACTAAAGATCTGGAAGAGCAAATTATCCATCAGTTTGGCTCAGTTGGGTATGTTTCTTCTGAATAAGATAGGTTTTCCTTCTACCAATATACAGAAATGAACAAAGAAAAATAAATAATGTTGCATTCCTTTTCACTCGCACAACAGTGGTTTCATTGAAAAATTGGAATGGTGTTTGAAACCCTTGTTTTTCAGAAGATGTTGAAAGAAAACATAAATGTTGAATTTAGTTATTCAAAAGATTGGCTATGAAGGGAAGTAAAACTAGGACCACACTGAAACTATTTCTAAAATCTGGAGCTAGGAATCATGAATGGCGAGAATGTACTTATAGTTCTTTATAAATTTCCCATCAGAAAGGGATGAGGCTAAAGCACAACTTTTTCTATATTGCTGATCTGGTGATACCAGGCTTGGGTTTAAAATTGCTTTAGAAAGGTAATATAATATTCATGTTGTTACTTTTGACAATTTATATTCCCAAAGGTACTTTTGGATAAGTCATAACTTCATCCTATGCAACCAAATTTGGGTTAACTGTAAATATGGTTGGACATCTGTAATACTTTCAACAATAAAGATTATATAAAGATTTCATTTCTAAGCAGCAGGGGATAGTCTTATGTTCCTTTACTTTTCAAATACTATGACATTTGGAACAGACATTGAGAAGTTGGTAACAGTTTATTCCAGAATTCAGTGTCTCTCACAAGAAGATAAGCTAGCACCTATGCATAGATAAGCCACCATTGAGAAAATCCCAGAATACTGAGGATGAGGCTAACGCACAACACAGAGACCCAGGAGTACTCCATAAAAAGGTAAGAGGAGCCACTATACTCTGGCCACACCTCCCCTCCCCTCCCATCTCCTGGAAATGAGAGGGTCCCCTGGGCTACAGTTTCTCCAGTGGGAAAAAGAGCACACAAGGTCGATGTACAACTAGCTCCTGCAGTGTTGCGAGACACTTCCCAGAAGGCCCACTCAGGTCTTTCTTCACAGCGATCACTGGAGAAATGTTCAGGACTTGATCACTGGGGATCTAATAGAGACAGAAAAGGATTGAGGCTTATAGCAACCAGATCTTGAGGGACCATTTTCTTCTTTGCAACAGTGCCAGAGAAGAGCCTGGGGGCCTCATCTGTCCTGGTGAAGCATAGCAATTCCTCCTTTAGAAAACTACTGTTTGAACTGCTCTGTTATTCTTAGACAGTCTCTTATTCTGTAGGTCAACTCTATTATATTTAGATAGTCCCTTATTCTGGAAAATAACTGTTTTAGTTTGAATAATAGAAAAAGATAAAAATTTAGCTGTCTGACCTTGCAAGCTAGCCATCTGACGTAACAGGCTAATACTGATACTGATAATAATTCCCATATTCTTATACCAAGTATTGGTTACAAACTGTCTGTAACAATAACCTACACAGAGCTCTTTGTAAAATCTGCAAACAAAGGGCTCAAAAAGGTATAAATAGAGATAACTTCCTCGACATGTTTGCTCAGAGATTTGGGAAACACCTCCCTCTGGGCCCATGCAAATAAAGACTCCTAATTAATTGGTTCATTAAGGCGCCTCACTGATTTATAATACAACACTGGGAACTTGGTGGGAATAGAGGATCTCAACAGAAATTTTACCCAAGAAGACATACAGCTGGTCAACCAAGATACATGAAAAGGTGCTCAACATTGATTAGTCATCAGGGAAATACAAATCAAAATCACAGTGAGATATCACCTCACACCTGTCAGAATGACAAGTGCCAAAAAGATCAGAGAGAGTAAGTGCTGGGGAGGATGTGGAGAAAAGGGAATCTGTGTGCACTGTTGATGAGAATATAAATTGGTACAACTATCATGAAAAACAGCACGGCAGTGTATTAAAAAATTAAAAATAAAATTGCCATATGATCCAGCAAATTACTCTCTTGGAAAATGTTAATTGCAGGATTATTTATAATAGACAAGATATGGAAACAACCTAAGTGTTCACCAATGGCTGAATGGATGAGGAAGATGTGGTAAATATATGCAATGGAATATTATTCATTCATGAAAAGATTCATGCCATTTGTGACAATATGCATGAAATGGAATAAGATTCCATTTACATGTGGAATCTTAATAAAAAACAAACTCAGAAAGAGAGAGTAGGTTGATGATTGCCGTGGGTGGCCTCGGAGGGGCTGGTGGTGTTGGGGAAATAGGTGAAGGGTAGTCAAAGGATACAAACTTCCAGTTGTAAGATGAATAAGTTCTGGGATGAAATGTACAGCATGGTGATTTTAGTTAACAATACCGAATTGTATATTTAAAAGTTGCTAAGATATCTTAAAAGTTCTCACTCTCCTCCAAAAAAACTTGTAATTATATGAGGGGATGGATGTATTAACTAACCTCTTTGGGGTAAACATTTTGCAATGAATACATACATCAAATCATCACATTGCACATCTTAAACTTACACAATGTTATATGTCAATTATATCTCAATAAAGTTGGAGAAAATGTTTTAAAAATAAAATACTCTGACTTCTTCCTGGAGGTGGGGCCATGAGCATCCACGAGCATAAATGCTGTTCTTAAAGGCTATGTGGGTAAAAGGTACATCTGCCGAGCCAAAAAAGTCAACTGTGGAGGGAAGTGTGGTGTCTAAATCAGTAAGAGATTGTAGGAGAAGGAAAGGGTACTTATAAGGGGATAAAAATACCATGCTATTTCCATTAGGACATTCCAGAACAAGAGAATAGTACTCCTAACTATCTCAGAGCTAGTGCTGGCTGCTATGGGAGGATTTAACTCATAGATCCCTTTTATTAAAAAGTAAAACTTTCCTAGAAGCTACTCAACAAAATTTCTTATGACTATCACTAGGTGCAAGGGAGCTGAGGAAACTCAACTGTCTTGTTAGTTGGGAGTGTTAAGAATAAAGGGAATTGAGATGGCTGTGGGTTTACCTCATTAATGGTATCTTCCACTGAGGGTGAGGAGAGGTGGTGATCAGATTTATATTTTTGAAAGGTTATTGTATCTGTAGAGCAAAAAATGGAGAAGAAAAGGCAAATTCTGGATCTAATAAAATCAGTTAGCTGGCAGTTGTGAGAGGAGAGGGAATGCAGGTGAAACTAAACCTGTGGTGGTAGGCATTGAGTAGGAGGTAATGTATGAGTGATAAAGTAGAGGTATATACTTGTCAGAACTTGTCAGATTAGGTTCTGATCAGGGTGAATATTGATGCTAATGAAAGAGAAGAAAGTAGAAGATGAAGATGATTCATTTGTCGTTTTGTACCTATCTAATTCCACTTATTTTCCACCCTCTACTTTTTAATGCCTTTTTTATTTTTGGACTACATTATCCTAAACTAAAGTAAAATGGGTCTGAAATGTTATTGCAAATGTGACATTTTTAAAAAATATATATTTATTGATTTCAGAGAGGAAGGGAGATAGAAACATCAACAATGAGAGAGAATCATTGATCGGCTGCCTCTTGCACGCCCCTAACCGGGGATCAAGCCCACAACCCCGGCATGTGCCCTTGACTGGAATCGAACCTGGGACCTTTCAGTCCACAGGCTGATGCTCTATCCACTGAGCCAAACCAGCCAGGGAGTGACATTTACTTTAATCTCAAACCTTGTAACACTAGTGTCATGGGAATCTATATATAGATCTTAGTGTTACAAGGCTTATAGTTATTTATAGAATTCCTGTTTTAAGCCTCCAACTTGCTACATCCCCGAATAACCTTATTTGGGCCTAAGGAAATAATTATGAGAAAATTCTTTGTAAACTGCAAAATATCATGCGCATGCACACTATTATAAGAAATCATTTTGGATAGATTGATAACTAATGGGGAGAAATACAACCTCTGATCCTTATATTTGTGAAAATGAAAATAAATTTTTACTCCATTAAACAGGGGACATTATGTACAAAAAACTTCTAATTCTCAACCCCTTCCTCACACTTTCCTATGAAAAGAGGAATGGTGAATTGGTGAGACAAAACTGAACTTCTGGGTTTGCTCTCACTTTAGATCAGCCTGGCATCAGACAGGCTCATCCTAGTCTACTCTCCTGCTCCTGGTAGTGGTAGAGCAGGCCTGGCCTCTGTGGGGGAGGGTCAGTTTACATCGACAGTGAAGTATTGATCAACTCATCGCAGTTGCATATTTAATCTACATGTTCCAATCCAGCTTTTGGCTAGAGTATATTGATCTTTTGATCTTCATCAGCCTAGCTATCAGTCTAATTAACTGCCTATATCCAAAGGGAGAGGAAAAGAATTATCTAGATCCCAACACTGTCCATTAAAATCACCTCCAGTGAAGATTTTCAAAACTTTACCCAATAACTTGCCTCAAATACAAGTATGTTTCTTCTTTCTAATGTTTTCATCTTTTCTGGGTGTTTCTAATAAGAGTCTGCACTCAATACTAAATATAGAGAATACTGTTGTCATTGATGGGATTGAAAAATGGCTGAGGAAATAGTTCACATTCCAATCATATCTGATGGGGAGAGATTAAACACGCAGGAGGAATGCCACTTCTGGGTATTGTTAGATTCAAGATATCAGGGATGTCTTTATAGGGTCTTATTGTGGTAGGCAGTTAGATAGGAACAGAGCAAATGGGCCGAGGAGAAAGCCCTGAGTGCCAAGCAAAGGACAATTGTAGGTGGAACCTTGTCCCTGACATGACCTTTCCTCCCCTAGCATCTCGCTGGTCATGTGATTTGGACCCCCTGACCTTTCCTCCCTAGAGATAACTTTTAGGCCTCAGTTGTATTTCAGCTTCAAGCAGAAAAGCAGCAAAACCAGATAAGCAAAGCCATGGCTGACCTCAGGACCAGCTACATTGAATACTGATCCCCTGCTCTGGCCCTGACCAATCAATCAGTGGAGACCTAGACCCTGAAAGGGCACACTTGAAAAACTGCTAAATACTTTATTAAAATCTTCCCCTAGGGCCTCCCTTAAAAACTATTGGCCTTAAAAGCCTAGGACCAAGGACCCAGTGAGCTCTCCCTCCCAGGAGCATGCCTCCGCCATTCCCCTGGGGGTGTCACCTTTACCTTCCTCACTCCCAAGTTCCAAGAGGCCTTCCTTTGTCTCTATACCATGTTTCCTAAGCCCATTTCTTCTACAAATTACTTCTTCCACTTCTGTAATTCATAAATAAATGTTCTCTTACAGTTTGGGTCATGGCTCTAACTCTTTCCTAGACAGAACCCTAGTACTGAGGTTGCTGAACCCAGGTCCTGTCTAACCAAATGGGTTTAACACTTGGTGCCATTCCTGCCTCCCATAATCCCCCCCTCAACCCCTCAACATTAGTAATGATATTACATGCATACCTGAGCTCCAAGATACGTGAATTTTATATTAATACTAGTGACCTGGTGCACGGATTTGTGCACATTGAAAAATTAATTAGAAGGTGTCCGGCACGGTGGGACAGGGTGAGATGGGCCAGAGACACCCTGGAGCCAACCTCCCACGGTCTCTCCCAGGCTGGCTGTACCTGAGGTGGTGCCGTGGCTCGGAGGGCGTCTTCAGGGTGAGCGGGTCCCTCTGGCAGGTGGGGTCCCTCTGGCAGGTAGGGTCCCTCAGTTTGGGCTGCAGGGATAGGGGTTAAAACCGGCTCTCCAACATCCTCTGAGGGGTCCCAGAGTGCAAGAGGGCACTCTACAAAGTTGCAGTCGTGCAGGGTGTGGAACACAAACTCAAGTGTGCAGTAAACCAGATTCAGGGCTGACAGTGCATGGCTGAAGTTGGAATTGCACAGTACTGCAAAGAATCGGGCTCCCTCCTCTCTGGTTTCAGGGTGCATCACCTGAGAACCACTGCTGTCAAGTCACTGAAGTTCCGCAGCTCCTGCATTGAGCATCTGCCCCCTGGTGGTCAGTGGGCATCATAGCCACCAGTCAGATGGACACTTAGCATATTAGCCTTTCATATATATACTACAGGCCCGGTCACAAAAATTTGTGCACTCAGGGTGGTCCCTCAGCCCAACCTGTGCCCTCTT